GATTAAAAACTTCAAAATGGACACACAAAAATGATGTTCCAAGTTTTATCAAGTCATTAGGAACAATTTTTATTTTAATGCACTTATTATTTCCCCCTATAGTGAGTGGTTAAACACTGCGACCAGATCGTTTTATTACTTTTTATTGAATTTATTTTAGTAATTTTGTCGTGTTTTTATCACTTTAATTAGTTTTAGTTATTTTAGTAGAGTAGTTAAACTAAATGAAAATGATAAATGTTGCAGCTATTTGATATGTTTAAAGGGTTTTTATATTTTAGCTAACATATATTTTATTTCAAACAAGATGATTTTTATGGTTTTAGTTAACTGTAATAACCCTGGCCAGTGTGTTATTCAGAATGTCCCCTTTAATGTTTTACAATAGAAATGAAGTAATACAGGTTTGAAATAACATGAGGGTAAATGAAGACAAAATAAGCCTCTCAAAAAGACTAGTAACCTACTATCGGAGTTGTGTGTTCTTGATAAGCTATAATGAAGTTTAACATCTATGATAACAGCAGCTTGGCAGGCAGGGTTTAAAATCGTGTTCCTTTGTGCTTGTGTACTAGGGTAACATGTCAGAGCACAGGTTGACATTTATGATAACAGAGTGCATTTAAGATGTGTGTAGTAACAAATAAAATATGTGTGCCATAATAGAGTGTGGGGTTGATCATGTGAGTGCAGGGATGATGTATTTTTGTAGACCAAAACCTAGAAACAAGTAAGCATTTTAGCACTTCCTGTTCTATCGTCTTAAAGTCAGTGTGTTTTGTTCAAATACACCCTGTAATCGGTGATACAGCTTCCAGTGATCTGCCCCAAAAATCCTGATCGTAGCACTCCTAGTTTTTGGAATGGGTTTTTGGTTAAATGCTTGAAATAAAGTCTGTGGCGTAAGTTCGAACGCTATTGGGAAAAAATAACATTGCGATATTTAGTTTTTCTGTGATATATATTGTGGTAGTGGTATGGAAACAGTTTCAGCACTTTTCAATTTGAATAGTGCTAGCTTCCCTGTCTTTGTTTTGAAACCTTCACTTTTATATCCATTTTCATCTTTCTTTACGATGGTCACAAATAACTGTCACAAGCCCCTAGCGGTTAGAGATACTTCACCTATGGAAAGATGAATGTGAATGTAAAATGGGTCATTTATGTAGAAGAAATGTGAATTTGGAGCTTTCTAGACTGAGAAAAGCCAGAAAAGGTTTTTTGGCTTATGTGGATGAAAGACAACAACTCCCAGAATGCACTTGCTTCGCTGCCCTAAGAGGCCACGCCTACTGGTAACAGAGCACAGTAGTTAAACAACAAGTCTAGGCTACTAGTAACTCTCTGTGATGAGTCTGCCCGAAAATGTGTTTCGAGAATGCCCAAAATGTCCGGGTTTCAGCTTTTGAGTTTTACAGTCGCCATTCATTACGTTTACTGTGGCAAGAAGGACGAGGCTCGGGCTGCGGGAGAACGGACATGTCTGGGAAAAAGAGGACGGTCGGTAACCCCTAAAGTTACTACTCCGTTAAATCCACAGAACAAGAGCCTGCTAGCTTAGCTTCCAAAAAAAGATGTGTAAATTCTGTGATTAAGATCTCACCCTCTATGGGCGGGTTGAATACATGGGGGACAGCCCCTACTACTGACTGTCGTCTTTAGCCTATGGCCAAAAAAATCCAAAACAGGATTTTTTCCATGCAAAAAATACGTAAATCTCTCGTCTCAGGGGGATATGACTATGAGGGTGGAAAGCATGGTAATTTGAAAATAATACAGGTTTTCTACTAATACAAAGCTTAATGCTAAATCCTGAAGTATCCTTTTAATATCCCACTGTGACACAAAAATAAAGTGTAGTAAGTAGTTCTCCAAGTGCAACCATTTGACGTCATCGACGCAGCATGCACTGCGCACCTAAAATGGTGCCCCACATTGTCCAAAATATGTATAAAACGAATGTTAAAATAACGTTAATCTTTCATGGGTTTTCTACTAAATAAGTAGAAACATCATTACGTTAAGTAAGAGACAGCATTTACGTTATATTAAGCCATACAAGTCTTAATACCCGGTATTTCCTTTAATTGCATTCGTTTTTTCTTTCTTCGTTTAGGGGTAAAACAAAATCCGAAATGCGTGACCAGGGATACACTTGTTACTGAACATCTGACACCAACCACACTGCTTGAGAGCGAAGTTTAGATGAATATGTAAATATGTGCCAATACCATATCTATATGGCATGATGTTACTAGCATGATAGTACCATAGTACAGTACTTTCCTTTTTGTTAGAGTACATTCTTGTTGTTTGTGTAAGAATGCATAATGCACAGTGGTGGTACGGTGAAAGTATTAGATGCAAATGCATTTTGATAAAAAAATTATTGTAATGATGATTGATTATCATATTCAAATACTATGCTATTTACATGGTACGCTACTATTCAAAACTGATTGGCATCAGTAAGATCTTTTAAGAAATGAATACGTTTATTCAGCAAGGATGGATTAAATTGATAAAAAGTGAATGTTTATAATGTTTATTACAAAAAAAAATCGATTTCAAGCTAATACTGTTAGGGTGGAAATTCAGCTTTGTCTTCATATGAATAAATAACATTTTAACATGTATATTAAAATAGATATTAAATATTTCACAATTATCCTGTTTTTTTATCAAATAAATGCAACCTGAGTGAGCAGAACAGACTCAAAAACTTTTAAAATATGTTTAAATTGAAGAAATGTAATTCTTTTTTCTTCTTGTTCTTTATACAGTCACATTTATACAGTTCCTATGACAGAAATTTTCAATATATATATATATATTTTAAATTCTGTGTAATGATGAGGTAGATTGTTTAGCTAAATGAATTAAAATCAACTTACGGTAAAAATAGCCGTCCAGATTCATTGCAGAACAGGTTCGGATTCTACAAACGCACATGCAGTGACTGCTAAGAGCGAGATCTGTGTGCAGGGAGCTGTTGTTTACAATTCACAACATGTCAAATCTCAAACCCTCGGGGTAATTCTCAACATTACTATTGAGGAAACGTGTAATGGGCACAAAGATTCATGTCAAAGCATTGCTGAAACTAATGCTTGTGTAAACTCAGGAAATTGCATTATTGAACCAGAGCTAAATAAAATCAAATGTACAGTAAAGGTTTATGATCATGCATCGCTTTACTATTGCTCATACATGGTACTTATTACTTGGTGGAGTGTTGTGTTAATGTGTTTGAACACGATTCATTGTATCTTCTTTCAGGATCCTGAAATGTTTGAATGAATGAGTTTTGTTGACTCTCTTCAGCTGCGGTGTTGCATAACCACAGATGTCTTTTGCCCACATTTGCTCCACTTATTCACATTACGGATATGAAGCTCGTATGTGTTCAAAGGTCTCACAGATACTGTATCTGTGATCTCTCAACAGCACTATATACATCTAATAACTACCCAGTAAATAATACTATTTAGAATTTAGAAATTACATCGATATTTATTTTATTTTTTCTTGATTTCTTTAAAGGGTTAGTTCACCTAAAAATGAAAATTCTGTCAGTATTTACTCACCCTCATGTTGTTCCAACCCCGTAAGACCTTCGTTCATCTTCAGAACACAAATTAAGATATTTTTGATGAAATCTGAGAGCGGGATCACTCATGCATACTAGTCCATAGGCTTCTTGAGGAATTGAAACTTGCCGGCCTGGAAAAGTTATTGAAGACATCGTTAAAATAGTCCAAGTGACTTCAGTGGCTCAATCCTAATTTTATCAAACGACGAGAACACTTTTTGTGCGCAAAAACAAACAACAAATAACAACTTTATTTCAACTATTAATTTCCTTCTCTCTCTGCCTCGAGTCAGGTTACTAGTTTAATAGCGTAAGCTTCTGTTATTGTACGTCACACGCATCACACACATGACCAGCGTCGGCTAATAGTGAGCCTACGTGTGACGTAGCTCTACGCTATCACACTACGTTAACTGACTAGAGGCCATAGAGAAGGAAGTGAATAGTTGAAATAAATTTGTTATTTTTGCTTGTTTTTGCGCACAAATAGTGTTCTCGTCGTTTGATAAAGTTAAGATTGAGCCACTGAAGTCACTTGGACTATTTTAACGATGTCTTTAATAACTTTTCGAGGCCGGCAAGTTTCAATTCCTCAAGAAGCCTATGGACTAGTATGGAGGAGTGATCCAGCTCTCAGATTTCATCAAAAATATCTTAATTTGTGTTCCGAAGATGAACGAAGGTCTTACGGGGTTTGAACAACATGAGGGTGAGTAAATACTGACAGAATTTTCATTTTTGGGTGAACTAACCCTTTAATTTTTGATGGGCTTTTCTCTTTTATTTGTATTTTTTTTTTAAATATTACTATTTAGGTTTAATTTACTGTTTTACTTTACATTTGTATTGATGTGCAGTTAGTCATTTTAGTTCTTCAATGTCAACTCAACATAATTTCAGTTAGTTGCCAAGGTGACACTTAATTTTCATTTAAAGTTTTTCATCTTATATTTGATTTAAATTAACAAAACAGTTTTAGTTGAAGTTAACTATAAGAACCTTGTCTTTTACATACATACAAGTGCATTGTTACATGTTAGCTTGGATAATTATTGCACTGATAAACAAAATCTTTTTCACTTTTGTTTGTCTACAGATATTATGACAGATATTATTAGTGTTGCAGTTTTCTTGATGCTTGTATTTGATGCTAGTGGTTCAAAAAACGTACGGACATGATTAATATGTCAAAATGTGCATTTTTGATGGGCTGTTACGATTAAAATCGGGAAAACAATATTTCTTTACACACCCCTACTAAAACGTTTGTTTTGTGTGTGGTGAGTGATAAAACGGTGGGGAAATTCCTTGCATTGAAAGAGATATAGAAGCCATATTTGTAAAAAAATGTATTGATTGACTGCTATCAGTTGTGCTCTGGATTGTAATGTCTGTTTACTTCCTGCAGGGTAATCCGGTTCATGGTTCGTCATGTGAAGTATTTCCTGGGTCTGCGCTATCAGGTCAGCGGTTGGGAGCATCTACAGACAGAAGGACCCTACGTCATCATCTCCAACCACCAATCATCACTCGACGTGCTAGGTGAATTAGCTTCTTTCTACATGCACACCCAGAGGTCACATGATCGTGCTTGTGTAACCAGTCTTTCTGTTCTGGTTCTCTCCTCATCTCCGCAGGCATGATGGAGATACTGCCGGACCGCTGCACGATGGTAGCTAAGAAGGAGCTGGTGTGGGCCGGGACGGTGGGCATGATTTGCTGGCTGGGTGGAATCGTCTTCATCAACCGGCAAAAGACCAGAGACGCCAAGAACGTCATGAGTGAAGCTGCTAAAACCATGATAGCCGACCAGGTCTGTCTATACTAAGTCTCCCTGACAATTCAGTCAACTCAAAGCATGTTTATTGATGATATTTGCATTTACATGTTGTCATTATCATTTGACCTACCAGAATCAGTTGCGTCGACAAATCCACAATCCTCTGCTTTAAAAAAAAATCCATATTGAGAAAATGAATAGGAAAAATACTTCTGTTCATTTCTGAATGCCGAACATTCTAACATCAGCAATGACGTCACTGTAATAGTTTGCATACTAAATTGTGGTTTAGTACTTTGTTGCATATATTTATCCATCTATATTGCTAGTCATTTTCAGTGGGTGCTGCAAAGAATCTCATTTTGTGTTTCAAACTTTCTGTAGATCCGATTGTGGGTGTTTCCAGAAGGCACACGGAATCAGAACGGCGGGCTTCTTCCGTTTAAAAAGGGAGCGTTTCATCTGGCCATTCAAGCACAGGTGAGAGTTACTCAAAATCAAGTTTTTAATGTTGTTTATATGTCTGTTTGGTGTTTTAAAATATACTTTTAAGACAAACCATGTGTAAATTCTCCAGTCAACAACACCATTGCTGAGTATTTTCTCCTTAAACACTGCAGTGAACCAAAAGACAGTCTCATAAACTCGGTTTGAAAGGTCCCTGTTTCCTGCAGTTACAAACATGTAACCAATCCCGTCAATGTGAGGGGTGGAGCTTTTCTCCACCGATCGATGATGTTCAAAGTGTTTCTAAGGATGCTGATTTTTAGAAGGGATCGGTCTAACTCTGAGATGGTGAACAGGAACATGCTTTGTGCAACACACTATTAGACGTTTGATAACATGGGCAAGGCAAAGGCTAATCAAATGAATTTTTGTTATGTGTTAGTCTGGGTTTCCCCATGCTGCCTTTGCGCATCGCTATTTTATTCATGCTGAAAGGCAGTATGGATACCATGGTCCAGATTTTCGCCTCATTTAGGGAACCAATCACTGAACGGGGAGGGAGCAGCAAGACGATGACGACATCTATGACACAACGAAGCAGTTTGTTTATTTTAATGGGAGATTTGAATGAGCTGTTACATCAATTATTTGAGTGCATGCTATTTAAGAAGCTGAAACGGTTGAATAGACAATTAAACGTATGATACCTGGGTTGTGGTTTTCCTGGTGGAGCTGTCACGTGGACTCGGTGGGTTTGGGCAGGTCTTTTTCAAAGCCCTCTGGGTTTTTGATGGTTTAACTAGGCTCGTGTTGCCTTTTGGCTGTTGCTGTCTGTGATTCGGAACTCTTCTTCCCATTGCCTGAATGTAGGCAAGTCTTTTTCTAGCCTGGAAATTCGGTTTGAGCAACGCTGGCAGGATCTTTGCGATTTCCCCTGACTCCGGTGCGACTGTCACCCCTAATAATGCTAACCTCTCGGATAAACTTGTTGTTGTTTTTTTTATAAAAACATGTCTGTGGAGTGTCCATATATACCTTCGACCCTCATGTTTATCTTGCACAAACGGCAATAGTCGCTGAACGTAATTGTTTACACAAAAATATCTGACCCATCATCTTCTTCCTTGGAATTCACTGGAATTCACTTCCTTGGAAGAGGAATTCACTCTTCCTCTTCTTCTGAATAAGTTTCTGGTTCAAACATATATGGCTGAATTAAACCAGTATTTCCACTTGCCACTGTTTAACTTTTATCACAGTGGATCAGGTATTCTGAGCTGGCGTGAGTGTGTGGAGGCGGGGCTAATTTGCATATTCATTTTTCCAGGTATACTAAATGAGGCAATGGTGTAGAGTAGTTGCTTTCACAGGAAAATAATTTTAAATATATAATTTTACCTGACGTGTAGTTGCAAAGTACAAAGATTAAGTAATTCACCTGCCACAGCCTGAACCTGCTTGAGCTCAAAGGGCCCTCATAAACACATGACACCTGTGTCACCACATGGGTTAGAGGTCGTAAGGGAGACTGACTTTACCCTTGTAGTGTTGTGTGTTATCTTCACCAACAGAGGGAGCCGTTGTTGTTTTTTTACATTCGCTCCTGTTCTAGTGCAGCCATAATGCTGTTGATCTGCACAAACTCATTTCCAAAGCCACATGAAACATTCCTTCATTTCTTCCTTTGTTGAGGCTTGTGAAAAAAGTCGAAGCCTATTGGATTATATTTGTATTGGACGCATGGCGGTTTGGTCACTTAAACTACTTCCTGTTTCACTTTATGGCTTTATTTTGTATGGGGAATGTAGTGTGTGTGTCTGTGTGTGTTCTGTATATTAAGTAATAATTAAGATTTTTAATGTTTTTGGAAAATGTCTCTTACTTGCTAGTTAGCTATGTAGCGCTAAACAGAGGCATCTTATTTTTTTATGTTTTTTTTAAAAATTCCCACTGAGATACTACTTTATTGACCCCATGAAATGGTGGGCAAAAAATGAAAAGTTTTCTTCCCATTTGTTTTTTTCTTTCGAAACAGGAAGTTAGGCTAGTCATTTTAACAAAACTTTTGACTTTTTTTGTTTGTAGCTCAACTACAATCTAGAGAGCCTTTGATTGAACCACATTTTTGTTACATGCCTCTAAACACAAGATATGTTCAATATTTTTGGTTATTTTCTCTGAAGCGAAAAACTACATGTTAAATGTACTGTATTTCTACTAACATGCTATTTTGTCCATTTGTAGGAGTGAACTAGCATGTACTGTATATTAGGCTCAATGCTAACAAAGCCTTAAGGCTAATAATAAAACTACATTTGTATGGTCACAATTAAATATTTTGGATAATTGTTGTAATGTTGAGACAAACCTATCAATAGCGGAATATTTGAGACTGACTTTGGGCTGGAAAGGGTTTTTGTCCGCACTTTCCCCTCAGAGCTGTTGTTGGTGTGAAGAGGTTTTGGAGTGAGCAGGTGGAATGAATTAGAAACGTGAAATTATTCTAAACGCTACAAGTTCATGTGAGGTAACATTAGCGGTGCAAGTAAAAGAATATTTTAGAAAGTGTGTATGTCTATGTGGCTGTGAGTCTGTAGTTGTATTTAATAGTAATTTTACTTTAGTCACTACATGTGTGTGTACATTTGTGTGATGATGCATACTGATATCAAAATGGCAGGCTGACATAATCAAAACCAGATGAGTGTGTGAGTCAAGGCGGGCAGACATCACTTAATCTAGACCAGAGTAATGGAGCCCTGATGGTTCTCATTAGTTAAGGCAAAATATGTGTACAGTCTATGCTTTTCTTCTCTTTATCTGTGTTTAGCATCTTGGCATTATGCAGCGACGCCAGGTGTGACCTGACGGAGTTGTATACCTGGTCTAGACATTGAGATGTTTAGTAGAAATGGTTTAATCTGGGGTTTCATCAAAATATTGACATAAATGTGAAATACATGCAAAATATTAATAACCTTTTAAAAATGCTATTAAATGTCAATTGTTATTTGACAACATTTTTATACATGGAGTAAAACATTTATTTGCCAATGTGTGTCTTTTATATTTATTTAGATTTTTTTTATCAATTAGTTGTTTCATTTTATTTTATTATATGTATATATTTGTAAAATATAAAATATATGCTAAATATTTTAACCTCTCAAAAATGTATTTATAATTTTTACATTTAGCTTATTGTAAGCATGTATCTTAACATTTCTATGCATTTTTCTTTCATATATATATATATATATATATATATATATATATAATATTTAAGTAAAACATTTGAAAATAACATTTTAAATATTTATTTGTCATTTAATTTGTTTTTTAATATATTTTTTCAATATAATTTTGTAGTTCATTATTTTATCAGACACCCGTTTACACACACTGTCCAGCTGTGTTGTCATGAGAACTGACCACTCCCCTGAGTCTATTATCAGTCTGGGAGGATAGTTGAGTCTGTGTCTGATCATATTTTTGTGTGTGAGAGCATTTCTAATCCCTGCTGATTTACTGCCTACTGCACATCGAGCAACCTCTCTCTCTCTCTCTCTCTCTCTCTCTCTCTCTCTCTCTCTCTCTCTCTCTCTCTCTCTCTCTCTCTCTCTCAGGCTCCCATCATACCCATCGTGTTCTCGTCCTACAGTAACTTCTACCTACGAAAACAAAAAGAGTTCAAATCAGGTAATCCACATAACAAATGTATGTTACAGAGAAACAGCGTTTCTGCATAGTATGGACAAGTATGTGATCTAAGTCATTTCCAGTTCTGCATAAGTATTTAAAATGATTTGTGTTTCCAGACTATTGCCCCTATTCTGATTTATAAACTCTAAAAATGAAAATTTCTAAAAACAAATGTATTGTACAGGCAGAATGTTTTTCGTGGCATGAGCAGGCACACAAAAGTTTAGTGTTTTTTATTTTTTATTTATTTTTTTTTTTTTAACATGACTGGATGAATTCAAGATGCATGGGTTCATTAAACATGTTTACTCTGGCATATCTTGCAATCATTTTGAATATAATATTTTCTGAATTAATGTAATCAGTGCTAATATTATTTTAAAACTTATGAGTAATTTAACGTGTTATTAAATGTTTTTATATATGTTTTATTCAATGGTTTGCAGTCATTGAAAATGTAAATATTATATTATTATTTTTAAAATACTATTTTATAACTTGAATGAATTTACAATATTAAATTTGAAATGAATCATGTATTTTAGCATTGTGATATTCTGCCAGTTATCTGGAACAATATTCCACCAATTATTTGGCAATGTAATAGAATACATTTTCTGAATGTAACATATCCATTAGCAGTTGGATTTTAAAACCATTTATCAGATGATAAATATAGTCTAAAAATTTGAGTTAAAGTATGGAATTTTGAAATGAAAAAACCCTGGCAACAGTAAGCTCTTTTTGTAAATGAAAGAAATAGTTCACTAAAAAATAATTGACTCCTCTTCCTGTCGTTCTAAACGTGTATGCTCATGACAAAGCATAAAAATAGTGGTCCATATGACTGGGTGCACTTTATTCCACATCTTCTGAAAGATTATATATCAATTGTAGTTATTATTATTCAGTGAATTATTATTTTAAGAACTAGTCCTTGAAATGCGTTGTGGGACGTGTTTATGAGTGATGATGATGATGCCGATTATGGCTGACATTTAGAAATGACTTAATTTAGGGTTTCTGCAAATTATTTCTAAAATATTTATTTAAATATGTGAAATGTAGAAATATATACCAACTATTTGTAACCTTTCAAAATGCTTTTTTAGCCATTGCTTATATGGCGTTTATTTGGATTAGTAGTTGATAGTTGATTATTTCATATTATTTTTTTTAATAAAAAAATAATAATTATTATATTATAAATAAAAATTATAATACACATACAAAGAAATATGTGTGTGTGTGTGTGTGTGTGTGTATACATATATTAAAGTGTAAACATTAAAGTATTAAAAGGTTACGATTACTTTGCATATATTTCACATATTTAAATATTTTACAAATATTTAGCTGAAACTCCAAATTAAGCAATTTCTAAATGTTCATTACAGCCATGATCACCCCCATTTCTACATTTTAAAACATAAATTAAAACATTTTGGCAATTAATGAACATTTCCACATTGTTTCTAACAGGAACCATCACTCTGAAAATCCTTCCAAAGATCGAGACAAAGGGACTGACGGCAGATGATGTCACGGCTCTCTCCGACCAATCATTCGGCGTCATACATTCGGCCTTCCTGGAGATTTCCAGCCAAGCCCCCCAGTGCAACGGGCCGTCCAGCCACTGAGCGCTGCCATCGCGCCCTATCTTTCGCTCCGACAACAAGGATGGCTCAAGACTACGTCGTTGCCGTGGTGACGGTAACCGCGACAACCAGGCGTATCCTCTCCGACGGCCCCGTGAAGCAGGAACACATGTCCATTCAAACTAAAACACACAAGCATTCACGTTGACTACATACAGATGTCATTTTAGCCAAGTTTCGATATCCCGTTGGACTCCAGGGGGCGCTAAGCAGCGGAACAGTGTTTTTTTTTTGTTTTTTCACCTGGCCTGGTGCGACGCTTTGTCCCATGTCCCTTTCGACGTTGGACTGCTTTTGTCTGCGACGTGTTGAGTTTCGGAGTGATGCTCTGAGAACGTCGTGGATGTGCGTTCGACATGCATGTCTTTTTGACTTTCAATGTTCTCTTCCTTTCACTGATCTACAAGGACTCGATTCATTGGTTCGTGTAGGTCGCTTTTTCTCAAGGTACTCTGTTTGCATTATGGGAAATCTGTGACAAATATCTGTTCGTTGGTTTTTTTGTTGTTTTTTTTTCGTATTCATTATTAGTTGCCAGAGTATTTTTGAAGGGTGAGCGCTCAAAGATGCCCTTTATTGTTTTAGATAATTGCTGACCAAAAAGTGAATTGGGAAATGTCCAATACACTCCAGAGTAAAGCTTTTTGTGTCGTCACAACCAAGGATTTGGAAAAATGCCAAGAGATAGATCCCCGCTTTCAAGGTTAGTTCATAACGAAGCTTTATCAAGTGCGGCTTCTTCCTGTGCCATGTGTCCAAAGTGTCTCAGCCGGTGGCTGCGTAAAGCTAGAATATTGTGAGAAACACTATTGATTATTGATCTGTGATCAGGATGTTTGATTAGCGTTTAGGGATAGAAATATGTTCCGGTTGACTTTGCTCGTTTCTTTTGTTTTTGTTTATTTTCAGGCTACAAAATATCAGATTTCATTCATACAGATGTATTTAACATTGTTCAGTCCTATTGTTTAATGTAGAAACCATTTACAAGTGAACTGTTATAATAACTGATCGAATAAGTATTATCTAACACATTATATAGACTGGCACAAAGGAGCCAACTTAACTAAAATGTGTTTAAGAGTCATTATTATTCAGACTTTTGATGGATCCGAATTTATTTGACATATGTTAGCAGATGGTAGCATCAAAACCTGGATTGTTCTTCCAACACCTCTTATAATATAATCCCAAGAAATGATTATAATGTAAATCACAGAGGTTTGTAACATTTTAAGTGGATATTGACGTATAGAAAAATGATACCGCTAAATTGCACTCATTCTTAGATCAGATATTAAATTTTAACTTAAACTTTAAGTTTTTACCAAGGAAAAGTCCATATGAAAATATATTTGGAAAAAAGTTCACAATTTAATCTCAAAATGACCAATTATTTAACATCTATTTATTAAACCAGACTGTATCACCAGCTTATGGCAGGATTATAATATAAATATTTGTAATTATTTCAAAGACATTTCTAATCGCGCTGCATTTTTGAATCTTATATTTAATGCTTGATGTTGCGGTTCTTATTGTTTAAGAATGTATAACATCGTTGATATAATATGTACTATGTTATTTAAAAGGACTGAACTGTACGCATTACATTATAATGGCTCACTGAGCTCAAAGATAATTTCAGAACTTGATTTGAACGGATGTTTGAGTTGGTTATTGCAAAATGTCCAAATAAAACCCAGTGATTATTATAATTATTACTACTAGTTGTACGAATCTAAATACTGATGCAATTATTGAACCCTTTTATGTTGTGTATTAGGTCACAGATTTTATAAGGCCTTTTCCTTTTGTTTTCGGTGTAATTTTCGCCCTGATGACTGAAAACCGCGCTGCGTACACAAATCAATGTACGAAAGTGTGTACAAGGTGTTGTGTGATTTTCACCAAAGCTATTAAGGATGTATAACAGGGGAAGCTTGTAAAAGCTCTGATTCTAAGATCCGTTAGACGAACCTGTCAGACATTTCACGGGCAGCCTTGTGTATGTGTGTGTATGTATGAATGTGTGGTCCATTGTGTGTGCTGAATGTGTTTGAATGGTGAGCAGACACACAAATGAGCTATAGCCCATTGTAAAATCTGTAAAGTCATATAAGACGATGATTATATATAAAAATTGTTGATTGTGGTAGAATCTGGATGCGAACTGTGTTAAGAACATCTAGGACAAAGAGTTAATAAAATCTGTTTTTCCAATATAAATTAGGGTTTGTTCTTGATGTCATCTGTCTGTGCATCTTTTTATTTGTTTTCTTTATCGTTCACACACACAGGTTTCAATGTTTTATGGGGACTTTACATAGACATGGTTTTTATATTGTACAATATATATTTTATATATAGAAAATCATTTTCCAACTGAGGATGTTCCAAAATGCACGTAAAGTATGAAGCTAAAATGGTCTCAAAATTACTGCTTATGCGAAATGTGATTCAAAAAAGTGTAAACTAATTCACGTAAACATGTAAATTGTATTGTGCATGTGAAAACAACAGTTAATGTACTTAGAAAATATGATTTACAAATGCTAAATTCATATTTACAAAAAAATTATATATTTTTTCGTATATATATATATATATATATACACACGCATGCGCACATATATTGTGGCGAGCAGGACGAGGCCAAGAGCCGTGAGAGAACGGCGCGAGGGAGGTGGTGTGATTGATGATGAGCGACATGTGCGTTAGTAGCAGTCTCGTCTCTCACGGAGGAGAGGAAGCATAAAGGATAAGCGACGACAGTGAAGAATGAGAGAGGACCAGGCCTGCATTTATGTTTTATTTTATTATGTAACAGCAGTCGTCCTCGGGGGCTGCTGTCTTTTACTTTCATTTTGTATGTGTTCGTTTTATTATTAAACTCTGAATTTTCGCCCGGTTCCCGCCTCCTTCTTCCCACAATGACCTGAACTTTGAACTTTGAATGAACTTTGCTACATATATAACCTAATTGTGTTTTTGAAATACTGTTTGCATATTTTGTACAATTTTGTCATTCATTTTGAGACTATTGTAGCTCCATAGTAAAAAGCAAAAAAAAAAATCCAAATTATATAATTATATAAAAACAAATTGTAAACTTTGTGAACAACAAACTAGAAACATTCAATCTTTAAGCAATTTTATTTTTTAAAAAAATGTAAACATAAAAATGATATATATATAAAAGAAAATGTAGTTTTTTCCCAATAGAAATACTCCGGAGAAGAACATGGAATTATAAATATATAAATTTACATACCTCCTGACCCAAACCTACACATCTGCACTTACACCAAGATTAAATGAGAGAAATACGTGGAAAAACATTATGAAGCAATCAAAGCACCCGGTCATCCACCATAAAACACAGAGAATTTTTTTTTTGCTATTGCGCTTCCCTTCATGCTCTTTAAGTGGATACATGTTCACATGGTTCTGACTCTAAGTTCAGTGCTGCAGTTGTTCATTTAGACATCAGATATTGGTTTCACTTGGATCCAGCCCATCTCTGAGTGATCATCTAGTTTTCCTGGCAGGCACCTGATAAAGACATGCATAAGATGTTTTTGTTATTGTATCTATTGAAACAGTTTGTACAGATAAGTTTCATTCACACATATATGCTTACAGGCTCCGATACGCTCCTCCAGGAACCCGACCTGCTCGCTGAGAGAGTCGATACGGTCTAGTTGCTGCAGAGAATGCGACAGGAAGTTGGTCCTCTCAGACAGGAAGCTGTTACCGTCTCCCACACCATCCAACGGGAAGAGCGTGGTGAAGGGAGCCAGAACCATCTCTAGTTTCTACAGAGAGAGAGAGGAAGGTATTCTTACATTTAAAGACACTGAAGTTGTTGTTTTTTTTTTTAAGTGAGTTCTGAATGCATAGTTCAGTCATGAAACTCTTCGGAGCAGCTGACGACTGCTTTTAAAGCCAATCGATCTGTTTGTTCTATCTACATATTTCCGTCTTCGGCTTCGGCTCAGCTCAGTGCATTGCACTATGGGGATTTCCCTAGCCCTCCTCCTTCCCCAGCTCCACCTGCCTAAATCTGTGAGAGGTTCTCCCTACTTTCCTTGCAGCATCGCGTTCCCTTTTCATTATTCACCCTTCATATTCACAGTATGCATGTTCATGTCTACACTCATTCGTACTGTAGCAGAACTAGCTTTTATTTTATTAAAATATATTATTATAAAATATAATATATAGAAAACTGCTTGTCACCGAATGATGAATATGAAATTTAATATGCAGTTTACTGTACTGTTTTATCCTTACATAATGCATACCCTTCACCACTTATTACATTTAAAGTGAGATTAATGAGTACTAACTTATTTATTAACAGGTTCAATAACTTTAAATTATATACATAAACCTTTTGGAAGTGCTGAAAAAACTTTTTTTGGCAACTAATGTTAATAATGTGACTATGTAATACCTCCTGTCCCTGTGGTATTGACTGAAAAACAAACTATTATCTATTAGAAATATCTGCCAAACACGCTCTTTTCCTGATGAACAAAAAAACCTGTGTCTGTGTTTTATGTTTCTGAACCTGTGATGTGTGAGGTTGACTACTGCTTTTAATTAAACCATTAGCAAGGCTTTGAACCAATAACCTCTCTTGGCAAACGGGCTAGTTTCCTGTCGTTTGAAGTAGGATGTGTCCTGAGGGTGTGTGTGTGTGTGTGTGTGTGTGATTCTGACCTGCTCAAGGAGCTCCACTCTGTTTTTAAGCATCTGAACTTCTTCGGTAACGTTCTGCACCAATACAAAACCTCCATCTTTAAGAACAAAAGAAATACAGACATAAATTAGAGACAGACCACACACACACACACACACACACACTGACATTCAGCCTTCATTAAAACCCAAAACGTAGCGCACAACTTTGAACAAAGCTTTGAACATAAATAATGCTTTTATTCAGGCAACATGCAAACACACAAACTGACTTTTGTAAAACTTCCATAAGCATCGTTTTACATTATATTCGTGCATGTTCTCTGATTGCATGAATTAATATCCTAAGTGCTCCCAGAGCAGACCAAAGATCACAGAAGAATAGAAAGACAGACAGAAATAGAAACAGAAAGAGAGAGAATGAGTGTAGGGGGTGACAAAAGGAGGAAAGTTTGAGGTTTGGCAAGAATATGAAGCAAATACTTTGAAATGCACTCGGGTCCAAAAGTCTGAGACATCTAGAGAAAATTAATTTTAATTTAATACAATATATATATATATATATATATATATATATATATATATATATATATATTTATATGTGTGTGTGTGTGTGTGTGTGTGTGTGTGTTTCTTCAAATTATATTATATATTATACAGTTTAAGTAAAAGTTTTAAACTAAAAATGTATATGAATTTAAGCATTTTTAAAAATAATTCTTGATTTAATAAATAGATAAACAAATAAATTATGTATTTTATTAATTTGCCATATATTTATTTATTAATTTATTTTATTTACTTATTTCAATTTTTTTTTGCTGTTTGCTGTAAATAATGTATTTTATGCATTATATTATTCATATATACATAAAATATATATACATAAAATAATGTATAATATGATCAAATAAATAATATAATAAAATAATGAATATATACATAAAATAATGTATTTTATTTATTATATTATTAATATAAATATAATATATTATTAAATTATTATTTTATGTATTATATTATATTATATATATTATAAATTGTGTTTAATTTGTTTGCTGTTTATTTGTTTTTAATAATACAATTATTTATTTTTATTTATTGAATTATTTTGCTATTTGTGTGTCCCCGTTTGCTTTAATGACAGCAGCACTCAGAGTCAGATCTGATGATCATAATCATAATCTTTCAGTATGATTGTGTCCAAAAGAGCATGAAATCAGGAACATCTGACAGCTTTTGCAAATGGTGTATTCTGACCTAGAAAGAGCTAGAAAAAATTTCTTCATGTTACATTAGATCTCTTTGCTTAAAATTATTTTTTTAAAACTACAACGGTTCAAGTCCAGGTTAAAATTGATGAAATCCCAGTGTTTTGAGACTTTTGCGCTCCACACACGACATGAAATCAGGTCATATTTAATCACAAGCTTCAGTAAGAGATAACTGTGACTGTGATTGGTTGTTTTGTAAATGGACGTGATTGAGACCCAATCATATCAGAGCTCAACCCAGTAAGCCCCGCCCGTTGCCTGTTGTTCTGAATGTTTTAGGTTATGAGCTCTGTCAGTCTTAAAACTAGTCAATGGGTCGCGCACACACATTCTTTTCTCAGCGTTTGATTTGGCTGCTTCCACAGGCGCACACTGAAGTTCAGTCAATCTGTCCCAGATGTGTGTGTTATGAAGACACGTGGGAGAGAGAGCGAGCGAGAGAAGATTTGTGTGAGGGAAAACAGTGACCCCCAGCAGTCTGAGTTTGATAGATATGGAATGCGAGCAACGAATTGAGCCAAAACGAAAACGGGAATAGCAGCTACAAATCGTGACCGGCAGTGGCCTCATTAAAAGCAAAATCACCATCATCGTACAGCTAAACATTCAGCTTCCTGTTCTTCTATCTGATGACACTAATGGAGTTTCAGGGACTTTGGTCCCCATAAACTCAACAAAGTATTTGTACAATAGTTGAGGTCTAAATGACATTTAAGAGATTAGGCCTCTCTCGCTCCCCATGTCTGTCTGAAAAAAAAAATTATTACACTTTGAAAGACATCTAAATTGTTATAGTTTAAATAATTAATATTTATCCTTAAAATTAATAGCAGTTTAAACCATAAATTATTGGTTTTAAATTATAATAATTAGTTTATATATATATATATATATATATATATATATATATATATATATATATATTTTTTTTTTTTACAGTAGCAAGGGAGATATTTGGTGTGAACTGTGTTTACTACGGTACCTGTCTGTAAGGGAACTACTCTTGCTGGTCAATGAGGCTGATGACAGGTTTAGAGTAAACTGAGCTTCTGCACCTCGAGTCTCAGGAGACGTCCCATCAGACAGATGTGGCACAGGGTCAAACTCAACAACACTGAGGTCTGACTAGTGTGGGAACAGAGAAACTAGTGTGTGAGGTCACTTAAAGGTTTACTTTGAAATGTGTTTCCTTTGATATCTAAAAATGAATATAAGAAACTAAGCATGTTCTAGAAACA